GTATTCCTGTTTCTGGACATCTCTCATAACGGGACACATGAGTAGAGTCCTGAGGCTCCCTGTCAACGCACGGAGCTGACAACAGGACAGAGGCCCCGGGCCCTGTGGCCGCTTCCTAGTTTAGTCCTCACGCGTGTTATCGTGATCTCACGTGATCCCTAGGACATGGAGACAGTGGAACGAGAAGCGGACAGAAGAGATCTGTGGGGGCTCGAAGGAGGGTCATCCAAATGGAAGCTGGAAAAGGGAAAATGCTGGGCAGCAAAAAAAAACCTACCCGAGCCGCGGCCAGGGGTCAGACTTGGCTGTGATCTACTCTATGCCTACTCATGGAGATACTGTCTTGTGGGTGGCGGGGCAACCTAGCTAGTGGTTCTGTCCCCAATCTGCAACCACTTTATCCTGTCCTGGGAGTCTACTACGGGAGGCTTGCCCTAGCGTCATTTTTAGTGTGGCCGGCCAGTGCCCACTTTGGCCAAGGTGGCTGGCTGCCCAAAGCAACAGGATAGTAAGAGTATCGTACCACCACGCTATGTGTGTCGCAGCTCCAAGATATGTTGGGAAGGCAGGAACTCGGCTCCATGTGGCAAAGGACTCGGAGCGACAGGTGAAAGCAAAGGCAAGAAGGAAGGCAAAGTAAGTAGGAATACACTCTGTAAAGAGAGCCTGAACACACGGGATCTCGGGCCACTTACTCAGCTGTCTGCAGAAAAGATGAAGCCGTGCGCTTGGCGGTGTTAGGGTTAAGAGTTCAATCAAGCGGCCACTGCTCCCGGTCCCGTCGTTGGCATGCGGGCCAAGCCGTGTTCAGAAGAATCAGTCTTTTCTTTTGGGGTGTCTCTGGATCTACCTAGGACCAATGAGAAAGGATACAGCCCCAAGGTATGGCAACTGGAACAGACTCCTGGTGTCATCTGTGGGAAGAAACGCTCTGGATAGAGAGGCTAGCATCTAGCATCCCAGGGTCTATCCCAGAGGTTTGAGGGTCCCAAGACGTGGAAATGTATTCCTGTTTCTGGACATCTCTCATAACGGGACACATGAGTAGATTCCTGAGGCTCCCTGTCATCGAACGGCGCTGACAACAGGACAGAGGCCCCGGGCCCTGTGGCCGCTTCCTAGTTTAGGTGTCACGCGGGTTACCGTGATCTCACGTGATTCCAAGGACATGGAGACAGTGGAACGAGAAGCGGACAGAAGATCCCTGTAGGGGCCAGAAGGAGACTCATCCAAACGCAACCTGGAAAAGAGAAAATGTTGGGCAGCCAAAAAAAACCTACCCGAGCCGCGGCCAGGGGTCGGACTTGGCTGTGATCTACTCTATGCCTACTCATGCAGATATTGTCTTGTGGGTGGCGGGGCTACCTAGCTAGTGGTTCTGTCCCCGATCTGCAACCACTTTATCCTGTCCTGGGAGTCTACAA